TGCAATTTACTTGACTATAGTGTGTGTGTGTGTGTGTGTGTGTGTGTACATACGTGTATATATGTTTATACACACGGGCCACAGTGTACATGTGGAAGTTCAAGGACAACTTTCGGGAGTTCATTCTCTATATCCATGGTGAGTTGAACTTGGGTTGTCAAGGCTTACATGATAAGTTCTTTTACTCACTGAGCCAGCTCACCAGCCATTGACCACATTCATTTTTTATTAAAATTATTTATTTTTATCTTATGTGCATTTGTGTTTTGGTCATAGCTCTCAGGCCCCTGGAACTGGGATTACATTCAGCTGTGAGCTGCCATGTGGATGTGGATACTGGGAATTGAACCCAGGTCCTCTGGAAGAGCGGTCAGTGTTTAACCGGTAAACTATCTCTCCAGCCCTAACCATATTCTTTAAAAAAATTATTTGTGTATCTACCAATCATAATATTTTAATGAGATTATACTCTGTTGGAGAGCAGAGTCCATAAATTATACTTCTTTGCCTTTCCTGCCCCACAACAAGCATGAAGCAGCCGCTCCCTCCATGCATGGCCACGGGGTGGTGGGCTGCTTGCTGACTGGGCTGTAGGACGGTTAGTGGTGAGCACAGGTCTCCTGTTCAGAAGTCCCCAGGGTATTGTGTAAAGGTGAAGGGGACATGAAACTGCATTTGGAAAGTGCCCATTTAAAAGAGGCGAGATGGAGACCGTCCTGAAGGCCAGAAAATTCAATCCCGCATGCCACCCAGAAGAGTTTATGCTAGAAACAGTGTGGAAACAAGATTTTCGCCTTTAAGTGGAGCAAAAAATGAAACAACACAGAATGTTCCTCATTCTAGGCAGCAAGTGGCAAACAAAGAGCCCTGGAGTGGGATACTCCAAAATAAACCAAGTGTCCCCAAGACGGATGGAATGAAACACCACTCTCAGAAGTACACAACACCGTTCTCAGAAGTCCAGAGTTGTACCCGTAAGTCAATAGAACTCCGGGTGTGCATCGTCGCTAGCCCACTCAGCAGGAACTCCTGGGGGACTCAAGTCAACTTTGTGTATGGAAGAAGCTCCTCTTGTCTCCAGACTACTGTGAAAATGAAGGAAGAGGAAGAGAAGGGTAGGCAAGGGTTCCATCAAGTTCCGCTTCAGAAAGCAAGGCAGCAAATGCTTCATTGCCTATGCATGACTTTATTACTTAACACATTGTCCACCCAATTTCCCCTGGCATAGTAATAGCCCCATCCTCCCATGCCCAAGGATGCCCAAGGGTGTCCTCGCACCTGCCATCCGTGAGGACTCGGAACACTCATGCATATTAATATCCTCCGGAGTAAGCATAACAATACATGAGCATGCTACTCACCACCCTCTATTCCCAAGCTAATCCTTGATGATTTGGGGCTGTTTCCAGAACTAGGGATTATCCACATTCCTGTTCCTCTAGAGTGTGTGCTCTGGCCCATTCTCTTTTCCAGCTTAAGGAAGCATTCCTGAAGTGTCAGCCCCATGACTGTCAGAAAAGGAAAACAGTGAGAAATTCACAGAGTTGGACAAACTCTCCAGCTGCACAAATCTGGGATGTGTTAGGGACGTGAAAACAGCTCTGCATTTGCATGGCGCCATCCTTTCTCCGAGCTCGGAGGCACGAGAGACTGTTGAGTGGGGACCTCTGCCCAGCTCAGCAGCCCAGACCTCCGTAGCTGACTGCCCCTGACCACAGAAGGCCTCCCAGTTCCTCTGCACGCAGATTGGACTCCATCCTTTCAGCATTCCCGACTCCACGATTCCAGGCCACAACTGAGCTGATGAGCCAAACTCTACTCAAGCCCTCTCTCTGCACACATGTGCCTGTGCATGTATGTGTTGATGTGTGTGCATGTGGAGGCCAGAGGACAACCCACGCATCATTCCTTGGGCTCCATGATCTTATTTGATGCGTGGAAACAGTGTCTCTCGCCAATTTGAAACTCACCAAGTAGCCTAAATTAATTTGACATTAAGCCCCGTGGATGTTCGTGTCTCCGCCTCCCCGGCACTGAGATTACAAACAAGGAATGCCATATTCATCTTTTTCATGTGGGTTCTAGAGATCAGACACAGATCCTCATCCTTGCAAGGCAAGTACTTAACCAGCTGAGCCATCTCCCCAGTCCTCTTAGTAAATGAGAGGTGTGTTCGTCTCCAGAACCTAGCATCATCATTAATTTTAAAATTTGTCTTTCCCCATGGACACCTTTGGTCATGACACAGGAATTCCTGGTGCTGTGTAAGCTGATATCATTGGCTGGAGTTTCAGGATATGTGGGATTCAGGGGGACTTATAGAGTGGGATGGAACAGTAGACACACAGGCTGACTCCAGCTGACCTTTCAGGGCGGGGGTTCCCCAAACAGTGACTGTGTTCCCCATTCCACCCCCATGCTCTGCCTCCTTAGCCAGATGAATTCCTCCTCCCAAGCTCTGGTGCTCTGGGCTAAGTAGGGAGACAGACTTAAAATTAACCACTATTCGCCAACTGCCTGGTCACAATAGCAGGGGAGATGAAGGTACTGCCCTCCACCCTGCAGAAGGCGAATGCACAGCCCCCTTCTCTGTCTGGGGAAGGCAGGGTGTCTTTCTTGTTTGACTTCTCAGCGGAAACAGCTATTTTAAACTAGTTCAGGAGATGAGAAGATACCTGACCATTCTAGTTGTCCACAAGACAGTGACAGTTTCCAGAAGGTGCAAGGCCACCTGCGACTAATTTGGATGTATACTTTAAGTTTTATGTTGTTCATGTTCGTTCTCTCCCCTTACAATCCCTATAGTGGCCTTTCGTTGATTTTCTATGAAGAATTATTCTCTTACACTCCGCTGTCTGTGACTCTCAAAGCTTATTAAAATGTATTAAGGGTAAAATACACTGTACTCACCCAAACATGCCATTAGCAGCCAGTAACCTGAACCAGAAGCAAGCTGTGGGGTTAAGATTTTCTTCAATATTCATCACTGATCTCACACACACACACACACACACACACACACACACACACACACACATACCTCTTGGCATCTCAGTGTCCTCTTGAATCTTCTTGGCTGCCTTAGAAGCTGCCCCACCCTTTCTAGATCCTCTTGAGCCCCAAATTTAGCTCTTAACCTAAAGGATAATAACAGGACTTAAAAAAATAACAATTTCCATGTGTATAGCATTCAATACTTTACAGAACACTAGACAACTTCTGAGGCTTTTGTGTTTGACCCAATAATGTATTTTGGGTTTGGGCTTTTGACTTGCAACATAGCTCAGGCTGGCCTCAAGCTCTACTTCCTCCTACCCACCCTTCTGGGTGATGAGGTTACAGCTGTGAGCCAGCATGTCCAGCCAATCATATGTTTTATGTGTTCCTTGTTTCTGCTTTTAGACTGTATGTGTACATGTTCATGTGTGTGCACATGCATGCAGGTATGTACATTCACATGTACACATTGAACTGAAGACCACAAGGTGACTTTAAGTGTTTTCCTCAATTGTTCTCTACCCTATTTTTCCAAAGTTCATGTAGCCCTGACTGTATTTTGAACTTGCTATGTAGACCAGGATATCCTCAAACTCACAAAGATCTCTTTGCCTCTGTTTCTCAAGTGCGCATGAGCCACCCTACTATTTTGAGACAAGGTAATATTCCTTAAAATAGTAATGCTGCTGGTGCGGCCTATCCAAGATACCTGGGCAGCGGACTCGCAGAGCAGCTGCGAGCCAGGCAGAGGCTGCCAGAGCGGTGCAGATTGCCCGCGGTGAGCGACAGAGCTGGCTGTGGGCAGGCAGGCAGGAGACAGAGACAAGGACATGCAAAATGAGATTAAAATATTTATTCAGAGTTATAGAGGAAAAGGGGAGGGGGAAGAGAAAGAAAGAGAGAGGGAGAAGGAGAGGGAGAGAAAGAAAGACAGAAATAGAGAAAAGGAGAGAGGAAAAAGACAGAAAACACGTGTGCACATGCCAAGAGAGGGAACAGAAAGAAAGAAAGATGGTGACGAGAGGTCAGAAGTTGCTGGGAGTGGGTGTGGCTTGCCCCGTAAAGGGACCAGAGACCAAAAGGAATAACATAGGGTCTCTCACTGAACCTGAAGCTCACTGTCAAGGTAACACTAGCTGACCTAGAAGCCGCAGAGGTTACCCTGCCTCTGCCTCAGTCACGCTCAGATAACAGGCATGGCACAGTATAAAGTTTTTGCATTGGTCCATCTGTTATGTGGTCAATTAAGATGGACAAACTGAACTTCCTAGAGCTTAATTTTCTGGTCCCAAATCACAGAGCTAGGCAGATGGAGCTGCCACTCAAGTGATGTCTTCTGCAACCTGGCTCCCACAGTACGGCTGGGCAGCAGCTCTTCCCATCAGAGAAGGCAGAGCCACAGTAGGCAGGACCAAAACAACTTCACCAACCAGAAGCATGCTAGAACACTGCGGGAGGTTGTCCATGGATCTCACTCTAGCTCCATCCGCTAGTCCTATGAAACCTAAGTCTTCACGTGCTGCCCAACACCCACAACACTGTGTTTCTGGAATGGTTCTTAGGCACACTAACAGCCGATAACCTTTTCCTTACCTCAGCAAGTAGGTTTCTCATGTCCAAATGTCAGACTTGAAGTCAGTGAGAACTCTTGTACAGATTGTCATGTGTCTTCCGAGCCCCCACTTACTGTGCACCTTCACGAGGATTGATCTCACCTCTTCTCTGCCCCAAGGCTCCTCCCTCCCCACTACAGAGACCTGCTCTGTGCTTCCTCCTCTCCTCTCTCCTTCATCTCTGTGCTCGTTCTACCTGGTGCTGTGAAATATACTCAAAAAGGAAAAGACAGTGTAAAAAGACAAGAACAGAACACCTTCAAAGGCATTTTTCCACTCCAGCGCATTCTCCTCCTGCCCTTTCTGCAAGAATCACACAGATCATCCATGGAAAAGCACCAACATCTGGATTGTTGATTGGGTTTTGCTCTTTCCGTTTGAATATGAGGCATTGTGTATAACAAGTTCCCTCCTGGGACATGCTCGGGATGTAGCTCCATCCTTCAGCCCTTTAATTAAAGTCACAGAAACATTAAGAGGGTCTCACCCTTGTAAACACAAAGGACCTTTCCAGGAAATGGCCCTGCCTCTGTGTTAACAGATGTCACAGAGTAGTAGGGGCGGAGAGTGTTGTTTTTAAATTCTCGATCTGCCTCGCTGGAGTTTTCTCCTTAGATGGTTCCTGGATAGCATCATACGCTTGCTGTTTTTAGCTTTCAAATCACTTCATTTAGCTTCCCTGCCCCGATCCACCTTGAGTGACTGTCTCGTGGATTACAAACACGCCCTGAACGATCTCCTTAGATCTGCACCGGCCATCATCCACCACCAGCTAATTTCTCTGGGTTGGGCCTTGTTCTCATTTGCCTCTGGATGCTGAGAGGCCGAGTAGCTTCTTATTTACACAGACCTGGGTGAGTCTTTCTGACTTTAAACATCTGGGTGAAAAGTGAAAAAGTCTTTTAATCAAATGTACATCACGGTGACATGACTCCAGACGTCTAGGAGAACTTTTTTTAATCCATATTTTTTTAGGGTTACTTACCTCAATGCCCCCTTTGTATTTGTCAACATCAGGCTGCCTTAGAAGTGTGCCTTCTTCTCTTCCCATACTGGGGCTGCATTCCAGAAGGAGAGCAAAAGATGGCTGCACCCAGGTAATGGCTGGTAAATCCTGGAAAGAGGAGACTAAGGAGACTCGTTTTATAGAAGGAATCTTCTATAATCTTGAAGATGAGCAATTCTGAGTTGGGCCGTTGTCTAGCAAGTCCCCATATTTGGCCACTGATGGCTGAGGAAAAGGAAATCTCAGGGACACTGGCTCCTTTAGGGGACTGCGCTGTGGCATTCGGGATGCCTCCGCACAGATGCTTCTGCTGTCTGAGCATGTGCTCAGATCACAGAACATCCATAAACTGTCTTCATATATCATGAAAGCAACACAGCGGTAAATGGATGGTGCTACAGATTTGGCCACATTTAAAATGGAGCTGATGAAATGGGTCCATCCAGATGGTTTAGTAGGTAAAGGCCCTTGCTTCTAAACCCGATGACCTGAGTCTGACCCCAAGGACTCACGTGGCGGGAAAACTGATCCCAGCAAGTTGTTCTCTGACCTCCCCATGAGTGTCATGGTACACCTGCACACACATCCTGATAAGAATAATGATAATCATGTTTTTTATGGGACTGAGATAACAGCTTTGAAACAGAGGTGGATGCAAAGCTTATTCCAGCCACACTTGGGGTTTGGGCATCCAAGAGGAAGGAAGTGGTGACCCTTGGGTGTCTTTGCTACACTCCTCTCTATTCTCAATAACCCGCTCCTGCCCCATGAGCCAGGATAATGGCCAACTGTTCAATCTTTCCTCCCTCAATCCTTGCTCCCTCAGTCCTTGCTCCTTGTTAGGAAAAATCTTAAGAAGAGCCTCTCCGCTGAAGCAAAATCACTCCAATTAAACCATACAGGTCCCCTCCCACTGGGCTTGCCTTGGGCTAGACTCCACCTCTGGGAAAGCCAGCCAAACGCCAGGGAGGATCAGGACCACTCCCACAGGCTATTTAGGCTCCTGGCCAGAAAAAGGAACCCGTGGTTTCGGGTTTTACCTGTGCTCTCCCTCTCTGTCCCATGTTGTGTCCCATCCCCCATACCCCCATGCTCCCAGCCACCCGAGAGCACTGCATTTATTAAATGCGGGCATTTTTGATTTGGTCTAATTGGAGTTATTTTGCTTTGGTGGAGAGGCTCTTCTTAAGGTTTTACCTAACACTCCTGTGCTGTGAGCTCAATCTCTGTGTGCTAGATGCACAAACGTTCCAAAGTCCTCGAGTTCTATCCAGTCAGCAGCAAGAATGGGGGCCTTGGGGACTTAAATGTGATTCCGTCCAAACTGAGGAGAATAAGGACAGAGGCTCCAGGAGAATGGACTCAAGACTTCTGACCAGGGATAAAAACCAGTTCTGAGCCAGGAGCCCTCGTAGTCATTCAACCCCAAGAAGGGGCCTCCAGAACCATGGCTGATGCTCAGTTAGTACCATCAGGAGCAGCAGAAATAGTGCTGGACCAAGAATACAGAGATCAGTACCCCAAGCTGACCCACTGAGTCATAGGACGTCTTTGGAGCTCAGTTTCCCCATCTGTAGGAGGAGTCAGTTAAGTCAGTCGGTCTCTATGGCTTCCTCCAGCTCTGACTTCCAGTTGTACCTAGGGAAAGAGAGAAATCCTTGATGATATCCTTGACACTTCCAAAATCACCCTCTCCCACCCACACTTCATCTCCTCTGGGATGAAGTGGCCCTTCATTATCTTGTTGTTGATAATGGAGTGGTTCCCCTCCCCCATGGAACTCTATGGGCTGAGAAAGCACAGAGAGAGCAGAGAGAAAAGTGGGTGTGAGTGAGAGGGAGGGAGAGCTTCTAGAGCTTCCCAAGCAGCTGCTCTCCAAGACCACAAACAGGAAGTATGCTCCCTATGGGCGACCTAAGGAGAAGACTCTGTCAGCACCCTCCAGCTCCCCTACACCCTCCGCTTGTCTCCTACTGCTCCCGCTGAAGCAGCCAGTCCCTAGTCCGTGTTCTCCGCCACATCCTGTTTTCTCCAAGCTCTGTTGACACTCTGGTAGGCTCTGGTAAGGCTAAGGAGCTGGCCTCATGGGTCAGATAGTTTTACCACACACAAAACATCTGAAAACTGACTGCTTTAAAGCAAAGGCCACTTCATTTGCTCTGATTTCATCATTGTCTGGGGGTGAAAGAGAACCACCCAATAGAAAGATGGTATAACCCATACATACTACAGTTTGACATTCCTAGGGTCACATTTTAAAAAGTTGAGACAAAAAAAATGAAGTTCATTTTAATAATATTTTAAAATTAATCCAAGACACCCAATGTGTTATGATTTTGCTGGCCTGCCTGTTACCTAAATACACTGCCCCTTTAAGAGATAAGTTCTGTCCCCCCTCTGTTTCTCTGTCTCTATCTATCTATCTATCTATCTATCTATCTATCTATCTATCTATCTATCT